GTGTTACTATATTTATCTGTTTTTGTTTAGGTGTATTGTAAACAAATGCAAACAATCTATAACACTGGAATGAAAGATAATCATTACAAGCTTCATATTGACGCATGCTAACCAACTATAAGAGCTAGATTCTACCCCCAGCTAAATCTTTAGTTTATTTCTTGCTTTAATCGTTTTTGTTTTATTGCAGACAAATTTAATGCAATCTTGTCTTTGTAAATTTGCAGCAAATCTTTTCCGGTTGCTTATGTGATAAAGTGATGTAATTTATGTACTTTAGCTTTGTCACACTGTGTCCAAAAATACTGTTTAGAAACAGCACAAGCAGAAGAGATTTACAGTCTGCTGACTAACTCTGTAATATCCATTATATGGCAGGAGCTACATTAAAATTTGCAAAGCTTCTACAGTATTTCACAGTGTATAAGTGTTGAAACATGGTCAGAGATCACCTTCAACACTGTGAAATACTCAGCATCTGAAGCTCTAGGGATTTATTCATGAAGAAAACGGGAAATATCTCTTTAGTATAACATTACTCTCATTTTTCATCTTCTGCCTTATGCAAACCAATCAAGCGTAACCTGAGCTGCTTAAATGGCGGGGGGGGTGGGATCCTGTTGCTTCATGAGTAACGTGGGCTGTGAGCCAGAGCTAATTCAAGTCCTTTTTATGCGCTAAACAAGCATGCAGACACACACACACAAACTCCCAGAGGAGAAAGCGAAGATAACAGGATGAGGCTCAGTCTGGGTCAGCATTATTAGACAGGAGACCAACAGCCATCAAGTCACTTAACAAAGTAAACCTCCCTGACTCGGTGCACTGTGCATGAGGCACAAAAGCCCTGCAACCAGTAGCTTTCATTTTTCCATTTGAGATATTGTCAATACGTTATATTTCAAACCAAAAATTCATTACACTCTTCGCAAATGTATTTTACTCAGAGCTCGAGCTGTGTGTCTGTGTGCATGTGCTGCGAGACCGCAGTCTCTGCAAACTGTGGGGGGAAACGACCACAGACTGCACACACTGAAACCCACAGACTCCAGTCCACGATCCATCTCAACCTTCCCATTTATGTTTTCTCTCCCCCCCTACCGAGCACCTAGAGGGACCACAGACTCCACTTCCTTCATCCATCTACAGAAACCTTTATCTTCCACCAGCATCCCTTCATCCATCCATCTCCCTCCTTTCTCATGACCTCCGTTATACGTGTTGTCCATCAGTCTTTGTCAGGCACTCAGCAACAGCACTTAAGGCTAAATTAGAAAAGTTTCCATTAAGAGACAACCTCTTTGATTGATTCATAGTCCTGCAGGATTAAAGACTAGACTAAAAACTATTATCCAGTCTGATACCTCTTATCCGAACCCCTGCACCCTCCTCGAGAGTGAAACGTCTAACCCGTGGCTATTTTCACTTAATGCTAGTCCAGCTCCTTCCAACTCCGCCCTTTTCCAAACCTCAGACCACAGAGCTTTAATAGGAGGGTTAAGAGGTAATTCCTATCACACTGCCATCATTTAATATCTAACCAAGGCTGACAGAGAGGAAGGTTACGAACCCAAACCAGAAAGCCACCAGCAAACCTCCTTGTCTCCTCCTCCTTACTCTCCTGCTGTTACTCTCTCTGCAAGTCTCCCACCATCTGACTTTCTCTCTATCCCATAATTCTACCTACATGTCTTCCTCTTTTGCCCTTCCCTCTTATACACAGGCTCTCTTCTACATACCTTGGTGCTTACATTACCACCACTTCCTTAGAAAACACAGCGAGGATGGGAGAAAAAGCACTAAAAAAAGAGGAAAAGTGGAAAGAAAAAAAGTGCCGGAGGAAACTCCAGACACTGTAATTTAGATTGTGCTGATGGCAAAGTAGGGACATAAAGAACATGAGATTTATAATGTTAAGTTTGGAACACGTTCACCCTTTCCACTCTCCTGAGTTGTCTGAGAGCTCTATAGGGATCCATATTCGACCGGTGATAAATAATAGCTTTCGAGAGCAATTAGGGGTTTTGTACAGTTGTAAGCCAGGAGGTGGAGGAAATAAGGCTGTCATTCACAAAGAAAAAGGCAAAAGGGTTGAAAAAAGATGCCATGTGAAAATGTGCGTGTGATGGAATATTTGTATTCGTCTCCATTCGCATGTGTCACTGTGTGTGTCCCTGGCGTTTATGAGGACTTTTAGCTGTGTGTGATCCTGGAAGCCACAGCTGACGTAGATGACAATTTAGCAGTCTGCTCTGCCTCAGCAATATATCACACATCACCACAAAAATATGAAACACAAAATATGTGCGTCCAACAAAATACATCACGGTGAGAAACTAAGGAGGAAAACTGAAACTGACAACATTATAAATCTTTTATTCTGAAACAAAGGAGTACAGATGTTCTAATGATAAATAAGCATTGATTTAAGATGAATAGATAGCAGTATATTAATTAACACCTGTGTTAACAGTGGCAGAAGCCTGCAGTGGACAAAAGGCATGATGTACTGTGCACGTAATGTTTATTCCAGTCTTTCAGATTGTAAACAGCAAGTAAATCTCCTTATGAAGCTCAACTTTCAGGAATCCATTTTTGAGTATTAAACAGTTGCTGCCTGTAGGTTGATAGGTTGCTGCAAACGCTTGTAACATTTCTTTGAGTCACAGCGGTTACGGAAGAAAGGCTTTGAATAGTGGACCAACAAATCAAAATGTCATAAAATGTCCACAGAAACTTTCCTGCAACACAATCCACGTCTCCGGTGCCAGCCCAAAATACTTCCAGCAAAGCGTTGGAAGTATGAGGATGTGAATATATGCACTGGAAAAGTACATTTAATTTATTTTGTGGAGAAAAAAAAAAATCTAATTTTTGACATTTCTTTGGACATGTTGATGTTGTGACACTGGCTCTGGCTCGCTGCTCAAATCCGCTTTAAGTGTTGCAAACCTAAGCTGACTATAGCTGTCATTCTCCGTGAAGGAGGGAGCTCAAAACCTTTCAATCAACGTGCTCGTTCTCGCCAGCGAATTTGTAATTGTGGAGTAACCGGAGTATTCCTTTAATTCCTGCTTTTTGCTCAACCTACACTTCAAAAAGGTGAAAAAACATGGAAAGAAAACGCACAAGAACTGTTACAGTAGCTTCCAATGGGTTCTGCCTCATGGAAACATTATAAAAGAGAATGAGAGAAGTGAGAAGATTAATGTCCTAGCGCTGGTATTTGTTATCCTAACACCTCTCACCATAGGCATGCACACACACGCTGAACACACATAAACTTGATATGTTGAAACGCAGCATCGATATGACACATGTAACACAAATAAATATCCAGTAGGGTATACAAACTTATAGACGCACCCAATAACACTTATACACACAATTAAATTCAGGCACCCACACACACACCCACACACACACTCTAACTCCAAGTTCTCTTGAAAGAAGCCCAATGTAAACAGCTATAAAGTTTAGAAGGTGTTTCAACCTTCAACCTAAGCCGACTATCCTCTCTGAGGATCAAACAAATAGAGAACCTGACAACCTGAGTGGAAAGAAAGAGCACAGATGGGGAGACAGCATGGATGCACCAATGGGACTAAAACAAAGAGAGAGAGTATGTCTGGGAATGTGAGATGAAGACGAGAGAGGAGGAGGACAAGTGGGAGGCTTTGCTGCATCAGTATGACCTGCTCTTACACTCTTACACTCTGGGAAAACTCAATATTCCTGAATAAAAATTCCACACGAGTCCAAGCAAAACATTCACTGCAGGCACACTTTCACCTCTTAAAATCAAGCGTACTCACACAAACGCAAACATCTGACACTCGCTGCCTTTTTCAACTCTCGACAGGAGCACAGAGCGGCACTGTGTCACCTGGCGCGAGACCCGGACCCTCGACCAGGATAAAACCTCTGACACCACGGTCGTGTTTTCAAACGGATCACGTAACACATCAAAAGCGGCACAAAAGGGGAAACGGAATGACGGAGGAGAGTCAGAGAGAGATCATGAATGGGGAGAAGATGAAAAAATAAAAATAAAATCAAAGTGTACTCACAGTCGTCCTAGTTTGGGATTGGACTGGAAGAGAAGCTCGGGAAGAAACTGGAGCTTGTTTCTGTTCAGACGACTGCAGGGAGAAATAGAAGAAGGAAAATGAAGGAAAACATGTCATTGGGAAGAGAAAAAGGGCAAAAACATTGTCTAATAAATCAGTCGCATCCATGCTTTTGTGTTGACTGAACAATCACCACAAAGCTGACTGAACGACCTTAAAGGTCAGCAAGTTTAAACTCATGGAAAAGCCTCTGACTTCCTGTGATCATGAGGTTATCACACTATGGTTTGTGTATACAGGTCATCAGTTTCTAGACTCTTTAAAGTCCATTAGCAATATCATCACTGCATATGCTTTAACCTGATAGTGTGAGATGGACCAATTTTGGGCTACAAGCATGTTTTAACAAAAAAGTAAAAAACTAAAAAAGAGTTAAAACCCCGGGGTAAATCGACGCTAGGTGAGTACTTCAGAACTGCAAACTGCTCTGAAATCCTACAAACTTTTGTGTCCTAGACTATTGCGACTGGCCTGTTCAGTACCGTCAATTCCTCCTGTGCATTTCTGGCTACTTTTAAGCTGCAGTTTTTGAATTTATCAGTAAGAGAAACAACAGTCATTTTCTCAATATAAGGACTCACAGATGTTATAATATTTCTGGAGTGGGATTGCCAAAACGAATCCATCGGAATGGATGCGAGGGAGTGCAAAGAAAATGAGACAAATATGTTTGCCTCTGAAAAAAAACAAAAACATGACCGCAACAAAGAGTGGGGAGGCAAGAGGGGAAAGAAATGCTAGCTTTTTATTCATTTTTATCGTGTCTGGCACCTCATATTAAACACCGGGATGCAACCACAAGGTAATTAAAACGCTATACATATTTGTTTAAAATACAATAAATGTGACCAAAGACTTGAACATATGCATTTACACAGAAACATTTACCTCTACAGAGATTTATGACCAAGGGAAAAGTAATAACATGTAATAAAAACAAGTTAAAGGCACCCACATAATTATGACAATCTATAAGTGTTGCTCTCGCATACAGAATGTTTTTACTTTCCAATTTAAACCACATCGTTGCTCAGATGTTTGATTATTGCCACCTGTGGGTGGTTTTATATTCTCGGCAATCTTTTGAAAAACTCTCTGATGCGTCTTCTCAGCTATTGTGGGATAAAAATCTTTTTAGTCACGCTTTATATGCAAAATAGCATTCCTTATCTTAGTGTTTTCATTGGAAAATTAGATAAACACATGACTTTAAATTACAAAGGCCAAAAAGAAGAGACAGTAGCAGAACGAGGCATTTTAGGATAAAAGCTGTTTGCTTGTGTATGCATGAGTGCAAAAGGTGGGGTTGGCTAAAGTAGAGATAAATGAAGACAGTGAAAGCTGAGGGAGTGAAAGTGTTATCAGGCTACCAAAGCATTAGACTGAGAAACGAGGCGTGGAAGGGAAAAAGGAAAGAAAAGAAGGGTGGAGGGTCGCAGGGTCACAAAGTAGGATCTGTGCTGGAGAAGACACAGACACCAACCTTTTAACCCTGTGATAATGATAATAAGATAGTGGCTTTCACTCCTGTGTACACCAATGGAAAGAATAATTGAGATGCACACCACCTGAAATAAATAAGGTAGAAAATACCTGCTAGCATGTGAGTACAGCACAGCTACTATTACAGCTACGAGTCATTAAAGGACATTTGCTCAGAGCACAGATATAGTTTCAAGAGAATAATTCTTTGTGTATTTTTAAGCATTAATGATGAGGTTTTCTTCCTACTTAGAACCTTTGAAATGACACCAAACCACATGTCTGTGGCATTCATATTTTATGTTTTGGCAAATTATTCCTATTACTCAGAATCACAGAAAAAATGAAAGAGTTTGGAGACTAAACCTTACTAATCATAATGAGCAGGGCTTTTTTTCCTCAAATAAAGAACAAAAGAAATAATTTGAAACGACACCTCTTAATAAATGCCGTTTATTTTGTAAAATATCCTTCATTTATAACTAAGCACAAATGGCTATGAATTCTGGCATTTCAGACTTTATGGATGCTCTGACCCAAGGGGATGACAAAATAAGCCCCATGTTTTTCACATTGTGACTCCATAAATCACATGGACTCAGCGTCAGGGCCTCTCACCCCTGACCTTTCACCCTGGCAGACACAACATCAGAGACCCTGTCAAGTAAGCATTTTAAAAACCATTTTACTATCAGTAAAGTAAAAAATGCAGGCCCTTGTTATTACCGTTAATCTACTGCAGCAGTTTTTCCCTCTTTAGAAAGATTCATTTTGGAGAACAAATGTCATCCTCAAACAAGCATAGATATTTAATTTGATCATTTATTTTAATAGGTTCTGATTTATTAAATGGGCTAAAATGGCATAAAAACATTAATTGAAGTGACTCGGATAAATGAACTGCTGTCTATGTGAGTTCTGGCAAACAACTGTTAAGACTCCCAACATCCTCCCTCCCCCTCCTCTGTAACCTCTCACCCTTCCTGACACACTGCATTAAAGAGCCTTTTAACATTAAAGTGGGCAGTGACCTTCTGCTTTCACATCATATGTGTGATCTCCATTTAAAGGGAAGATATACACGTCTCTGTCGCTCAGCATATCTGGATTTTAGGAGAGCTCTGCTGACAGCTGCAGTGATCTAATGGTTTTATCTCTCTTCTCCACTCTGCAGCATGTATACCGAAAAATACCATCCACGTGTGAAGTAAATTCCTTCCCATTCTTACTCTCATGAATGGTTTTACAACAGACACACATTTGTTAATCAAAATAAATAATGTTGTGGCATTCTTTTTCAGACTGCAAAAGCAATTTGAAAGAAGATAATGACAAATTTACAGTGTTCAGATAGCAAATAAAATTGCATCGATGGTGAAATAAATTGAATGAAGAAATATTCAGCTTATGAATTCAACGTTCATTACAAAGCCCGTTCTTGGGTTTAGAATCGCTGTACACAATATTTTTTATGAGGATGCCACTCCTAAAAAAACCTCTAACACTCAAATTGTGTCATTCTGTCTTTGTGTCACATAAAGGAATCCTCTTCCCATCATCACTCTAACGAGGACTCATAAACATGCAGGTGTGTATGTGTGGGAAGTGTTGTGTTGTACACTAACACCCTGATTCTGTTTACTAAAGCCTTGGTGTGAGTTGACAGATACACACATTCCTAGGAAGTGTGTGAAGTGGACTTGGATATCAATCAGTTGAAATCTCTGTCAGTGAATATGCTGCACAGAACAGCAAGTAAGGAGCAGTAAATCAAAGGTGTGTGCAATTTTGTCAAAGTGGAAAAACAGCAAAAAAGTTTTGTGACAGATCACATTATTATTATGGAGCTCTTTGCATGCATAAAATACCTATTTTACCTCGCAGTATGGTACCTCTTTTCACATATGCACTATAGGAAGCAGTGTATTAGGGCTGGGCCATATTATACCGTTCACGGTAATACCAGCGATAGAATATGGGTAAAACGCGCGTGCGCAGTCCCTTAGTTTTCATACGCACATGGCCGAAAAAGCAGAAAAAGGCAACGGAGAAAGAGAAGGGGGAAAGCGGATTGTTGAGTGAAACAGATGAACCAGCACTGGTTTTTAAAAATGGTGCGACGTCACTGGTGTGGTGTTTGTCCGTCAGATACACAGAAAAGCACATTTTTTTGTAGAACATGCAAGCGGGCCGTCGTTATTGCCATATTTGTCGGACTAAGGTGCTCGTTAATCTGGGCGTAATCAGGGTCCTAAACCCCGTCCCTTCAGGTCCCAAAGTTAAACGATCACTGCAGCATCACTGAGAGTTAAAAACTGTCTGAATTCTTTTATCGTTAAGAAAACGATCAGCATTGCTGCTTTACCGGGTGTAACTATGAAGTTTAACATCCAGGCATCCATAAAAACAGAATTTATTACATTTAACGGAGTTGGAAGCTAGCAGGAAATTAGCGGAGGTTAGCTCGCTAGTTTCGCTAGTTACCTAAGCATGATAGCATGTTCTGACTGAGAGATTTCTGAAAAAATTCAAACGTACAGCTCTGCTGTCACTTCCAACATAAATGAAGACAGGAAACTAAACAGCAGTGACGTTTGTAAGGTTACTGAAGTTGGACTAGCTGGTATATAATGATGTGCTACGTGATCGCTAGCGACACAGCTATGTTAGCATAACATAAACAGTGAACCTGGAGGATTAACACTTTTCCACTTGATAAAAGTTAACGTGAAGGTTCCTGATGGTTAGAGACAAATGCAATTGCATGCCAGGATGCTCTAAACAGACCAAACTTCAGTCAGGAGAACAACTGAGATAATCCATCCACAACACGAGGTTAGCCATTAACATACTGCAACAACACGCGAATAGAGCAGCTGTGATAGAATACAGTATTAATGAATCAATGTACAGAAGTGGAGGAAGCAAGAAGAATGAGTTGAATAAAGATTGATTTATCTGACTGCTTTGTTTCGCTTAATGTGTCTTATAATCCTGTGCACCTTGTGGTCCGAAAAATACGTATTTGACTTTTTTATTTGGCACACTGCAGTTTAATGTTGCAAAGCACCTCTTTTTAACTTCAGTGGATATTATACATGGTTATGCTCAGGATATGTCGGCCCATTTCTACTGGAAATGCCTTTTGGTTAAACTTTCAGCAAGGAATTTGCATTTGCACTGTTAAATGTTTATATAGCTTTAATGCACATAAAAAACAGCAGCTTGTTTAAGTGAAAATAAGTGGATGGGTTTTTTTGTGCTAGTAAAGTTGTGGAGTTGTATTTTGTCTCGCAGAAATTATAGTTTTCAAATATATATCGTGATGTATTTTTTTGGCCATATCGCCCTGCTCTACAGTGTATAATGGCATACTTACAGTCTCTCAAGCAGTCTTAGGTCTTGAAACGCTCCTCTCTCGATAACAGTGATTTGGTTGTCCTCAAGATGACTGTGGCGACAGGCAAGGAAACAGAAAGAAAATATGTTGTAGTTATTTTTGTAACTTTAAAAATGCAAAAGCAAGACACGCAAATATACTCTGTGACTCTTTGTGATCACGACAAGGCAGGAAAAATCCCAGTGTTTCATTAGGCCTGTCTTTAAAATGATTCAATTTAAATATCAATTTGTGAGGCACTCGTGGAATTGGGAATGTCCATCTCCAGCCAGAAACAGCAGATAAATGTATTTTTCTGGCCAGTGCAAACAACTCGAGAGACACTTGCACTTTTAAAAAAGCGGTTACATAAACAAGCAATCAGTGCACTGAACACATGAATCTGGCATGAAACAAACATTTTGTGACACAAAGTATTTCACAAATGTTACAGCCTACCACTCCAAAAGAAACAATTAACAAACCATCTCTTTCCCATTCTTCCGTTGATATCTTCTCCATTTCGCTTCAGTCATTTCTGCGGTGCTCTCAGTGTAACCCATATCTCCCCTTCATTGCTTTCTCAGTGTTGTCATGTTTTGGGGGCAAACTAAGGTTTTCCAGATGGGATAGAGAAATGGAGAGAAAACATCTCAACTGATATGTGTGTTTATATTTTCTGTCTGAGGATGTTAGGAGTGACATGTCCTGAGAGGAAGACAGGGAAGAAGAAGCTGAAGGGGGAAAAAAGTGAATGATGTGAGGAAGAAAAGAAAACACTGAAAAGCAAAGGTGGAGAAAAGTGAAAGGAAGATACAAGCCAGATATAAACCGCAAGATGTAGAATGACAAGCTGGATCAAGTGAGAGACAACCAAAGACAAAAGAAGTCATCTCAAAAAGAGCCTAACATGTGGACTTTGAGTTGTTTTGGCACGCCTCTTCTTTAAATATTCTTTCAAACAAAACGTTTACATATCCAGGCATTAATCCATGGCCTGTCATACTGACTCTACGCAGAGACACACAGATATGTTGGACTTGGATGAAAGATAACAGGCTCAGACAAACGCTCGCACATTCATATATATAAAGTATGTAAACATATAAATAAAAAAGTCAGAGCATCTTGAAACACTTTCGAAGCACTGGCGCACCAAGCGATGGTAATTGGCTTATTCTCATAATATTGTTCATTTTGTATAACGAAACATTTTCTAGGAAAAATATCTCTTGATTACAGGGAGCATTTTTTGCTTTATAAAAATGTTTTCCAAAAAATCATCAGTAATATTTGCTGTTAACTGAAAGAAATAAAAATAGCTCCAGCTTTTGAGCATTCTGGATCAGTTTCTAAACAGAAACACCCCAAACACATACGATAAGGTATGTGTGGGATCGTTTAACGCAGGTAGGGAGTTATGCACTGGTAGCAAGAATTCCCAAACACACACATAAGCATGTGCACATTTCTGACTCCGGCATCAATCATAATTTACAATCAAGCCAAGATTAATCCAGCATGTTCATTCCAGCATAGCAGCGCTTTTTTTTTTTTGTTCCTGTCCTTATAGAAAAGCATTTCCTGTGTACTCCAGGGAAAGCTAAATCAAGGCATAACTCTGAATAACTATCAAAGTTTATTTGTCCAAATGAGAGATCAACCGCACGCTGATTTATTGAATGAAGTTTAGAAAGGCTGTGGATGTTAAGCCAAACACATGGTGCGGGGAGTCGATGCTGGCATATCGCTCAGATGAGGTATTGTTTTTATATTGGTCTGTATCAAGCATTAGTCATCCACAGAGACATTGGAGAAAGATGGGGGGAAAAGAGAGCAAACAAGAATTGAATTCATGTGTGTGGGGACTGGAGTGTCTAATAACTCCAACTTCAGTCAACGGTTATAAAAAGAACAATGATGTCACGCTACCTTACAGCAAACTGCGAGAACTCGGCCTCTGAAGGAAATAAGGAAATACTTCAGGGGATATTAACTTCACTTATTATTTACACACACAATGTTTGAAACCGCACTGAATTTCCCCGGCCAAGCGTTCAATATCAAGTACAAGTTTTCACCTACATCTAAATTTGTTTGGAATTACTCAATTTCGCCACAATCTGGAAGAAATCTTGCAAAGTGAGGTTGCCAAAGATATTAGGCTAAGTGTTGTTCACGTAGCGTGCATGCAGAGGCAAGCTGTGTCGTGCAAATTTAAAGAATATTCAAACCCCTGAATCAAATTCGATGTTTTCGCATGAACAGAAAACAATATTACATGTTTAATCAGAAAACAGCTCGCCGTGCGATCGATTGATTTGGAAGGTTTGAAGCGTCACAAATCAGTCTAATTATAAGATTTTTATTTTACGCACCCCGTGGTCTTTGGTGGTGCAAATGCAAAAACAGATCGCTTAGCTGTTTGGATGTTTTTAAACAGAAGTGAGATTACATGAGGGCAGACAAGTCCTTCTGCAGGACAAATTATCAGTAATTACAGCTCAGATGTAAGCAGGGGTATTTAGGAGTTATACTGTTTTTTTCTGTAACCTAGCCTGGGAAAAATGTTAGCGGCTTTAAACAAGTTCTCCCATCGGAGGCACATATGGCTGAAATGACTGGAATCTCAGAAGTAGGCACTTATGTTTGTCTATGAGAGAGAATGAATGGGATAGAGTTCTGGTATATAACAGCGATACCTATTAAAGCAAAGATAAGACCATTTTTGGTGACCATGTGGGCTGTAGGATCCAAAATACTAGAATATGTATGTCTCTGAAAGTGTGCTTTCTCCCGACCATCTCCTCTTTCCCAAGCTTCAGAGATTTAGAGAAGAGAAAAGTCACAGCAGTTTATCACAAACCACATGAAACGACTTGCTGGCTTGCCACACTCAGCTCACACACGTATACACTGCCTTTTTCTGTGGGTCCTTCTCACAGTGTTTCATGCATGCAGAATGCAAACACTTACATTTTTAATTTTTCTGTGTTTTACTTAAAAAACTCGAGCACAGATGCATCCTGACCCAGTGACTGACATACGTTCCAAACTCCACTTTGGTCCTATATTTAGGAACAGGAATAAACAGATGCCAATACAAGCGCAAACACTCACATGTAGAAACTCGTTTCCATTCCTTAGCGGATTTGTACTGGGAGTGTATTTTTATCCGCTGGTTTGGTTAAAACAGAGTGTGGAGGGAAGCTGCATGCAGCCAGCGGTGATTATAGTTATTAAAGTTCTCACATACACACTGATTTTAGCCGCTTATGGAAAAGGAGTGAGGGAGCCCTTGAACTTAATTAGGACAGCTGAGAGAACGTGAGCAGTCAATCTCAACTACGTGTCGTTATTTAGATATGATGAGCCAGAAAGGTAAAAAATACAATATATACACTTTATACTTTAAAGATTTTCATACGTTTCCCAATAAGGACCTGCTCAGTGTTGGTAATTGTAATGGTGGCCAGAGTGATTTAGCTCCCTTTTCCATGCCTCAGAAACAAGATCATTTCTGAACAGATAAAATATCAGAAGGGTTGAAATCTCCAGTGATGCACATGAAATTGGTTCAGGCTGCACACCCCTAATGCTCTACAGGCAATCTTGTTTTTAGTCAGTATGTACATAACAAAAAACTTCTGTTATGAGTGAGTATTGTTTTAAGACCAGCAGTATTTCTGAAGCGTTTTTTGTGCTTCAGTTTAATAGATATGATTCAAATTCGCCTGTTTGCCTATCTCTAAGCTAATGCTACTGCTTTGAAATTTCAGCTTTCCCAGAATTGCAAAAGTCAGCATTCCCCAGCATTATTCAGAAAGACTTTAGAGTCTAATTTGAAATCTCTCTTTTTTTCATAGGAACAGTGACTAACTCTTTCAGTATGAGCTGCTTTACTTCGTTTCCCATCATCGTATCCGTACCAGGTCAACATCTCGCTGTTGTGCTGCTTGTATAGTAAATGGAAGTCGTGCTGCTTGTTGCTGGCATGTCAGCTCACCATTACTCTATTATTTAACCTTGTAAATATCCAGTAATTGCAAAATCCAACTCCTTGGATAGTACACTTGCATGCTCTCTTGTTCTAAATGCCCTCATTAGGATGGGAAACTTTATTTTATAGAGACTTGCTTCCCCCTATAGCCATATACGGGCCCATTAGGTAAATATACCATTTGCTTAATTGCTACAGCATGGAACTTTTTTGTTAATGGGATTCCTTGTAAAGAAACAAATACAAGTCGCAATTAGGTATTAAAGAGAGGACAGATTAAAAGACCTGATGGTACTGTGTCTGGTAGATTCAACTTAATATTAGCCAACTTACTACCTAAGAAGGAAAAAGTGAAGTGACTTAATGATGGCAACTATCTGGAAGTGCTGGTTCCTCGAATGCAGCACATAAGAGGAGATAGTCAGCTTCAGAGGGTTCTGCTAGAAAAATTTAGGTTAGTTTAAGCAAGCAGCTGCCTGGGTAGAGTATACAGAAGTCAGGATGCATAATTCCCAATGGCCCGCTCTAAGTTCACTAGACAATTACCTGCTCTGTTCTCGCATGGGTGCAATCAGACATTATACAGACTGTGTGCTAGGGAACTAGTGGCACAGCTAGCCGGTACAAAGGCACTGTTTAATGTGTAATCAGACATTCGTATTCTCACAGCTCAAAGAAGCAACATCAAGAAGATTTCAGCAGATAACAAAATACTTCAGGTAACTGCAATCTGAATTATACATTTTCATACATCCTGACTGATTTAAAATAAGTTAAAGTCCTCAAATAAACCGGAGGGAATATGAGCAAAGCCTAATGTTTTACTGACTAAAAATCTAATTGAAAAAAGGAAAGAAACTTACAGAATCCTGAGGTTCTTGAGGCCAGAAAAGTCCACTTTAGTGATTCTGGTGATGTTGTTTTTATTCAAATCCCTA